AGTACAATCACTAAAATAACTAACTCTTGGATCATGCAAAGATAAAAGCTATCACTTGTTTAAATAAAGCTCTGGATTCTGTGCCAAAGTTTTAATTAATGTGCATAAACATTAAAACTTGACACTCACATTCCTTTATTAAAAGGGCATTCACAAGTGTGGTTTAGAAGTCTCCCACTAACACACTTGAGCTCTAAAGTTGAGTGCTGTTGTATCACAGAGCACATATTGCTTCAAAAGCATATGAGAGTAATTAGTAATGATAATTACTTCTTCAGGAGACTGTATAAATTACTGTACATACCTCTTTAGGATTTAGTAATCTTAAAGCTAAGATTAGCAATCTTAAAGCTATTCCAAGCTGGCAAATATTCAAATAAAATATCAAAATCAGGCCAGAAAAAGATTATTGAAAACTTTATTATTTTAGTACTACTAAATATGTATTTACAAATCTTCAAAATGCTGAATTCTGAAATTGACTCCTAATAAATGTTTTAAATCTCAATAACATTCACAATAGATACAATAAGGAGGAAATAATCAGCATACCTGTTGAAGTATTGGTATTCTTATTTTTAACACTTGAGTCACAAGAGAAGCTTCTGCTCTATTTCTCCTTCAGATTTCATCTCTCAGAGTAGTTCATCATTGCTTCTTTCTACCATGTATGATTTTCCCCGATAGCAATTTAAGGATTCAACTGTATTCTTCAGTAGTCTTCCTCCCTCTCCACCCCTTTAAACTTCATCTTCAGTGTAACCATAGTGACCTACAAAGATGTCACTTCCAGTTCAAGTCCTTTAATAGCTTTCCAAAGCCCATAGCACAAAGTCAACACTTCTGTAATCAGGTAGTGCAGATTCCTTCTTGTCCATCTTGTTTTTACTGCAGACATTCATCTCCTTCTGTTCTGGGTCCCGTAGTTGACCCGACAGTGATAAGCAAACACTTGTCATGTCTATCACCTGATGCCTCCAGGCCTCTTCCCATGGTTCCCTCTCTAACTGGAAAATTCTTCTCCCCCACATCTTCTTTACCTCAGCAATAACTCAGCCTCTGTGGAAATTTCCCTAGCTTAACAAACTGAGTGAAAATGCCCCCAGTGTGTCCCATGCATTCCTCAACCACACTACTTATGAGATGATGTGGAACTGACTTAGTGAGTTTATTTCTCCACTGCACTATAGGCTGGCTCTGTACTATAGCCCCAGAGCTCAGTAGAGGCTATTTATGGTAGGTCTGTGGAACAGAGTGATGCATCTGATTCTGTTATATATTAGCACTATTTCCAACAATATACTTAAGTATACATAAACCATTTCCTAGAGAATTTAAAACTCCAATGACTCCAAGAAATGTAGAAACTAATTGTTTTTTAAAAATTATTCAACTGCTTGAGTAAAGGGAATTCAATTGTTTAATTATGCTTAATAGTTTGCCTCAAGAAAATATGTGCTCAAAAATGCAGCCCAACAGCCTTTTCTTAGTGCACTGGCTCACTGCCTAGAACCTTCCACACACTTTGCCTAAAGCAAGGCAGTGATTGTTCCAGCAGAGACGAAGGGCTAGGGCTCTACGAAGGGCTGCAGTGATGCTTTTTCCTATCAGAACTGAATAATTGTGACTGTCACAAATAATATGATTTGGTTTAATCACCTAAAAAAAGGAGCATATTTGTGTTCTGTATCTTAAAGTCTTCATTATTTTATATTTTTAATGACAGTGCAATTATAAATAGAACCTTCATTCTGAAGGCTATATTAATCCAAAAGACTGATCTAGATAGGCAATATGAATAAAATAGCCCCCTGCATACACTCGCTATTCGGAAATAATTCTCTGCCCCACATTATTTGCATCTCTCAGACAACCATGATTTGGAATTCAGCCTACCTGACTTATCCAGAGAACTGCTGCAATTTCCATTTCAATATTTTAATACAAAAATGGACTAAGAACAATTTATCAACAAAGAGAACTGAGAAGAAACCAAAATAATAAGGCAAAATTCCATTTTAAATTAGTGACAGAAATATTTATCATCTCTGTTTTATAGTCTACAAAAAGGACAAAGTAGAAAACAACTTCAGGAGAGCTCTCTAAAGATCAGTTTTCACAACATTTCAATTTTTTTTAAAAAAAAAACGAACATCTGAAGATGAAGACAGGTGAGTATTATGAAATCTATGAACTACATTGTTCTTCCTTTTCTCCTGTATGAGCATGTACTCAACCACATTCCCTCTACCTCATTTACAGTGTCTAGTAATAAAAATGTTCCTTACTTAGTATTATGTGTATCAATAGTGTGGAAGAGTTCATGTAATTCTTCTCCGCTGAGAACACCATCTGCAAAATATGCTTTGAATTCTTCAAAGGATAATTTTCCATCATCTGAAATGATAAGAACAAATAGAAGAGAACCAGATCATTTCAACTGTGTACCTTATTTTGTCTTGAATTTTGAAACTTGATACATAAGCTTGTGCATATATATATATATATATATATATATATATATATATATATTCAAGAATGAAGGGCCTGTAAAGGTTTTAAAAAGAAAAACTATTTAATACATCTTTAGGGTGCACAACATGTAGATATGTACACTCTGATTAAACATAAGTCAACAAAATTTGGATTATTTTTGTTCATTTTATTCCCATGTCTAACACTTAAAAACACTTAACTGTCCATACAAAAAGAATTTCCTCACAACAGAAAAAGAGCCCAACATAAAGTCCATTACTTAGATATTTTGTCTGTGGTAGCAAGCATATATAAACCCTAGAAGTTTTCAGGATAGATACTATATTTTAATAAATGTATATGAAATAAATAGACACTTATATGTGGTTATAAAAGCTGTTATCATAATCTGGTAGTGTATTTATTCTTATATTGTTAAAGCCAATGAATACTTTTAAAGCCAAACACATTTTACTTATTGAAGTAAAGAAAATGAAATGCAGAGAGGTTAACAAAAGAGATAGGATATGTAAACATAAGTGTAAGTACTTGAAAGTCACTGGCACGAGATAAAGACTTCTTCACCTAGGTCCCTGACAGCGTTTAGGAACGTTTCCACCTGACTTTGAAGAAAAAATTCTAAGAAAGTTTACGTGGAAGACACACATTAAAAACAGGCAAAATAGGAGTATAAGACACAGAAGCAGCAAATCCAGAGGACTGAGTGTACATGAAGGGAGAAGAGGCATCCATTCCTCCACGCAAGGAGCGACTTTTGCAGTCATCCCAGAGAAGCTGTCAAATGACTGTAAGGGATGAAAAAGTCTTTCCATTTAAGATGAGGGAACTGAAGCATAAAGAAGAAGAAATTCACTCGGGATCTCAAAACTCCTGCAAGGTAGTTCTATAATACAAGATACAAACCAACACTACCCTACCAAGCAAACCAGAATTTGCCTCTAAGAGGTAGTAAGTATGATTTAGTGAGATTAGATTTTCATGATTCATTTAGACTACTTTTTCTCAAGAGATGGGTTGCAGAACGCTTGGTTTATGTTAAAATGCAGTTTATGAGCCATACAAGAGAATTAGCACCCCATAGCAAGCACTGAGAGTGGTCAGACAGAAACTTGGACTAATAGCAAACTGCATTAGTCCTCCTTACACTATTACTAAGAGACTTAATCAGTGAATTAAAATCTTAATTTTTTTAGATAATGACTTAAAGACTGGAAGGTTTTCAACAATTCTTAGTTGCAAAACATAAAGAGTCCTGAGGTCTTACCAATTGCATTTCACTTCACTTTTCAAATTAGTAACTGCAATACACCAAATTTCCAGCTGATTCTTAACTTAGTAGATATGGAGAAAGAGGTGGGAAAAATTGAGATCTAGGCTGAGCATAGAACAACTTTCTGACCCCTTCCCCTCTGGGACCAACCTATCTCAGCCATTCAAAGACCAAAGCAACCCAGTAGGTAGCAGTTTAATCCCCTGGGATCATCAATTGTCTAATTCACACTGCTGTTTTTAGAGGAGATATTTTAATTTCATGCCACATGAAGCTACTTTGAATTTTGGCCCCTTGTAGCCTATTGTATCTTCTGGATTAGATGAAGTTCAGTGTTTCTAGGGGTATTGCCTTATGTTGATGAGAAATATGCCAGGTTGGAAAACTGGACCTGAATCAGATCTAGGTACAGGTCAAAGAGAAACCAGGAAAGAAATTTAATCCACTCTTTAAAAGAGAGAGAGAGAGAGAGAGAGAGAGAGAGAGAGAGAGAGAGAGAGGAACAAAAGAAAGTAAAGGGAAAAGCAGAAAGTAATGGGCTATTTTCTACTCTGCTGCTGTGATGTGTAATGAATGTAATGCACACACACTGATGATAGAGTAAGCTTTGCTTAGTGAGCAGTTAATGTACTCAGGTGTGATGAACAAGGCTATGACAACTCAGGCTGCTGGTATTTCCTGCTAGCAGGGTGGGCCTCTGATACGCGGCTCTGTAATTAGCATAAGTAAGTGGCTTCAAGTAATGGTGCATATTCTATCAAATAAAGGCCCTGACTAGCAATGCTCTGATATACTTTTTAAAAACTCATTTTGGAGAAAAATAAAAAGAGAAAAAGAAGGCATGGAATTATAGCCCTGGCTTGAGAATGAAAAGAATACTTTGAAAGCCTGGTTTTCTTTCTTTCTTAAAAAGAAAAGAAAAAGAACCACTCACAGGACTCCTGAAAGTCTTCACTTCAGGTTGCCATTCTTTTAAACAAGCAATTGCCAAGAGTAACTTCTGAGTAGTTCTAGGCTAGCACCTTAGTATTAAACAAAAGTACTATTTTTTTTAATGGAAAGGGAAAAATATCCACTTGTATGATTCACTATTAATAAAGCAATTAGGAATTTTTATTAAGACACTGTATTTGAACTTTAATTTTCTGATGATATTCTTTTTTGAAATAGAATAATGCAGTGAAACCTTGGTTTTTATAAGCTTGGCTCATGGAATAGCCACATCGCATGGAGTCTGAATTCCTAGGTTGCTGAATATTAGATTTTAGTACCAATGGACACAGATTTTTTTAAACTTCTATTAAAACTGTATACTGTGTCTAAGTTCATCCCAAACATAGTTACCTACACACCCGTGCTTCACTTTTAAATTTTTCTGGCCTTATATCCAAGTCCTGTTAATTTTTGAGATAGAGGAAATAGTGCTGTTGCCAGAAAAGTTTTTTTTTAATATTTTTTAAAATTTATTTATTTATTAACATTTATTTTGGGGTATGTGTGTGTGTGAGTGTGGCCAGCTCAGCCCACCAGGGGGCGCAGCTGGCTGGCATGTGGTGCTGGGGGATCGAACCGCGGTCCCTGTGCTTTATCAAGCTTGTTCCAAGTAGGTGTCTTAGACCACTAAAACAAAGAAAATTTTGTGGAGCCAGGAGGAGGAACCCTGCAGTCAAGTCCTGCTGGACAAGTTCAGCTGAGCAGAGATGGAAGGAGCCAACACCTTCACTGAAGCCCGGATGGTAGAGTTCAGCAGAGCAGACCCAAGAGGAGGAGGTGAGGCCTGTGGCTGGACATGGTGAGCTGAGGCATACTGCTATGCCCAGTGCGGTTAGGCTGCAAGAAGACCTATGGAAGGATCCTTGTGGGACTGAGGTGGCAGGGAGTAACTTAGGTGACCTAGTCTGCCTGGAAAACTCCAGGTATAGGAAGGAGAGGTGCCTAGACAGAACTCAGGGGAACAAGTTTACATACAAATTGCCAATTTATGTTATATAGCTGTAGTGTTTGCTCCTATAGCATAAAATACAAAACCATTAGGTACAAAAGTGTGTAAATTTCTAAATTTCACTTGCTATTATTAGTATTACTAATTGTATTACTATAAATAAGATGCCATATCTGCCCTAACCACATGTTCTCCAGTGGGTACTAATACCAAGAGGCAACTGGGTAATAACCTCACCAAAGCCCTATACTTAAAGACAGAGGACTGTGCCAATGGAAACCAATATCTCACTCTCAATCAATAGGAAAGGCAAAATCTTGGGATACACACAAAACAATCTCTGACACAGGAGAGATACCTAAAGAACAGACCTTACCGAGAGGTTCTTAATGCGGTGATACAGATACCTACTATTAATCTTTCACAAAAAAGTACTGTAGAAATCAAAATAAAGAGTTCTCTCTGAAACAGAAAATGACAAAATGAAGGAGCAAAACACAATCCTAGGCCTTGAGACCACCAGGAACAAACCCAAATGACATCAGCATAGAAGAAATTGGAAATCCCACACTGGAAATCTCTGAAAAAATAGCAACTGAAGTAAAGAAACAACTGCAGAAGGGTACACAGGAAATCAGATAAGAAATAATCTCCCAGGTTAAAAAAAAAAAAAGAAATGATAACTACAATGAAAGAATTACTAAGCATTTCTTTTTTTCCATAATTTTATTGAGAAACAAATAGCAATGAGACAGTTTCAAACCAAATTGGTAGGACAGTTTCAATAATTAACACATTGCATACATTCTTCCTAGTGGTTAATTGTTGTACAAGATGCGGACATGATATCCTATTTACAAACACCATTAGAATAAATCCCTCTATTTATTAAGAGAATTTGACTATATATCTATCCTAACCACTTTGAATACATAGATACAAAATGGACATTCATCTGTATCCCCTTTTTTTTTGTTAAGTTCTATTATTTGAATATTATAGGTGTGTAAACTCAGCAAAATATTCTAAAGGAGTCCAGTAGCCCATAATAGTATTGGATCTTCCACTTGACTGGCAATGTCAGAAATTGTAAGACATTGATTGAAAAATAGAGAAGAGTAGAAAAGTGATGGAAGGGGGACCAGTCAAATAGCAATGTGGATTAAAGTGCCTACAAGCAGGGACAGGGACCTTGGGTTTGATCTGCAGGCCTGCTGTACTGGCCCAGACCCTGGATGGCAATTTGAGACTGGGCATGGTGGTGCACACCTGTAATCCCAGCTCTTGGGAGTTTATAAACAGGTGGATCACTATGAGTCCCTAGTGGTGAGACCCTGAACACCCTGTAGACCCTTCTCAAAAATAAAAAAAAAAGAAAGAAGGAAAGAAAAATGATGAAAAATGTGAATGAGCAATATAGGAAAGAAATAGAATGCATGCAACAGATTCAGAGATATACAGGAAATTTAAGGCTTCATTAAAAGTTGGCGAAACCCTTTGAAAAAGAGTGAAGATAGACTTTCATATCTTCAATACACAGTTACAGTTAGCTGACAGGTAAGGAAATATCTCTTAAAAACAACAAGGTTCCAGGAAATAGTAATCCAATAGCTGCAAGATGATGCAAAAATGGATAACATAGGACTAATAGACATCAATGAAAAAGAAGGAGCCAATATAAATGACAGA